TACAGTGATGAATATTGCGTTCGAGTTGAGTTACTTGTAATTACAAGCTTGATTTACATTTTTCTTGTGGTGTTTTTCGTCAATGTATTAAATATGAGTGCGTTGGGGAAATAGCATAATTATATTGCGTCAGTGAATAAGGCTGGTGAGACTGTGTCACAACGCGTTCTATATATTACCAACGTGTGTGGTCGGCGCCTCTGATTGCGTTTATTTTGTATTTTTATTTTCAAAATGTATCACTGGCTGCGTTTTTTTTGTTACGTCTCGCAACTGAACGTCCAAGCTGACTTTGTTTTGGCTGTATTCCAAAAATAACTGAAATAGTGGTTTAATGAGCTTAACATGTCGCCCAGCCTTGGAATTTTCAAAGCAGAATATAATTTGGTCAGCGCTCTCGCTATAATGTCACATTTTCTGAATAAAAGTCGTAGAATAATTTAAAAGAACAGAGAAATTTGACTTGAGAAAATGAGTCAGACTTGGAAACAGGACATAGTGTATATGAGGTCCTGCAATGGAGAATTCTGATTGGTTAGGAGGCACTAGGTGTGTTACAAATAATATCCTTATGGGTGTACTTTTACAAATTGTTGATTATGATCTGAATATTAAATCCTGGTGAATCATGATTTTTTTTCCTGCAATTTGTAGATAATTAGACTATATTAATCTTGTAAAAACTGGACTGTATAAAATCACAAATGCAGGAGAATTTGTTTTTTTTATTGAAAAGTATTGAAAATAAATACCTAATACTGATGAGAGTAAAAATTAAATATTTTAATTACATCACAAGAAGGCAAGGAAATATTGTAGTAAAATTGGTTTTATCTTTCTTTTTTGTCAAATATTCAACAGGTGTATAAATCAGTGAACATTGTTAAGAGCAAAAAAGAAATATTGACTGGGCATTCTACATGTATATGTATTTACCAAACAATGTATACTAAATATGTAACACAGTATTACATATTACAGTTTTACGATGTATTACATAGAAATATTATGAAACTAAAAATACCAAATTAATTGATCTGAGTATACAATCTTGTTCTATCTGCACCGAAATGTACGACACATTTGAGTGGCGCATGTTGCAAATACAAATTTAAAAATATAAATTACAATTTTTAAATTTTTTACTATTTCTAAGCTCTCTTGTTTGTGTTTACCTTGATAGAAACATTGCTTTGGCAGCAAACAGATATTTGTTTTAAAGGGGGATAGTAGTTGTGTCACAGGTCAAACCTCATATTTGTGATTTCCATTAGAAGAGCACATTGGGTTGTATCAGAGGTACATTACTTGGGGTTTGCAACTACGGTGACATGATACCAAGATCCCGTTTCAATCTTGCTCTCGCATAAGCGTTCCAATTCAGAAAAATGTAAATGCGCATGCCCAAGGTAACTAGGATACTGGGATTTTCAGGTGGATCAAGATAGCTGCTCACGATATGACGGATTACAATAACTATATTTTCTGTACATTTTCGATGCATTACATTTTTTCACTATGAATGTGGTAATACATGTTTTATTGTTTTATTACAAACCGCCTATGTCATGTCAGAAGGTCGTAGCACCTGTCTCGCTATCTACGATATGAGACTTGAATGGGATCTTG